AAGACGGGGCCCTTACATATGTGTCGGCTTGGGAGAGGGATCTAGGCCCGGCAGAAGACCCAACTGATTGGGCCAGGATCTGGGAGGCCACAGCATCTATATCAATCTGCGTCAACCACAAAGAACAGGCGTACAAGACACTTATGAGATGGTATCTTACCCCCCTCAGGCTCAAACAGATGGGCAGGTCAGACACGGACACATGCTGGAAAGGTTGCGGACAGAAGGGCACATACCTCCACATGTGGTGGGAATGCACACCCACCGCACAACTTTGGCAACAAATAGCTTCCATGGTATCGAAAATCCTCCACACCGACATACCACTAAACCCCTGGACATGGCTCCTATCCAAACCACTTCCCAACACACCTAGGGCCCAAAACAAACTAATTGCCAAAATAGCACTGGCCACTAGAAGAGCCATCGCCGAAAAATGGGGTAGCACAGACACCCCGACCGTGGGTACAATAACCCAAAAAATAAAGGAGACAATTAAAATGGACGAACTGTCCGCACTGGTACACGACTCGACTAAACACTTCCACAAAATCTGGGACCCATGGTTCTACGAAAACCCTCTCTCCACCTGAAACACACACACACCCACACTACAAAAACGCTCCGCAGACACTTAAACCACCAACACCTCCCAGAACCATCAGACACATCCCCTCTAGTACCAGCCACCCACACACACAGAAACATAAAAGAGCCAAGACCACTAAACATATCCCCCAACCACACAAACCGAGAGAACCCCCAGACAAGAAACCCCAAAGGGCCGAACAAATCCCCCAAAACCGGACACCCCGAAACAAACACAACAGAACCAAACATACCCGCCAACTAAAAAAACAGCTGAAACAGCCTAAATCCAGCGACCACACATCAAAACCACCATACCAACATCCCCATAAATAAGCGAAACCACAGCACAACCCCAACAAGAGGTACCCAGCACACCCTTAAATAATAGAAAACATACAGATGGGAAACCATAAAAGTGGGCCACAATAGAAGCAACATACGACAACAACCTAAATACCCATAACATCTCCGACTCACCAACGGGCTGAAAACCCACGCTGGCCGACACACGCATCGACTTACCAGATCACCCCTTATAACTGGATCCACACCCAGCCTGAAAAACACAACGGAAACAACAGGTGAAGGTAACCCACCCCACACCTCCCCTTTCCCCGGCACCCCTCTTACACCCCCAGACATCACAGTGAACCAGACAACCCGACCAAAAACGAGCATAGACAACACCCGAACTAAGAAACAAAGCAAAACAAGCAGGAAAAAGCACCCCCAAACACCTGCCCCCTCTCTCCCACCCAATTGCACAATATGCGCTGACAGCGTACGACGCAACCCACCACGGACACTACACCACGCAAAAGGCTCACACAAACCAACTCATTCCCAAAACCACCCAGACCCACCAACATAAAGAGAACCGGATTGATTTAAAGGAAAAATCGAAACTGTATGTAAATGTACCCCACTCACCTTCCCTCTTCTTTTTTCTGTACCCCACCCAATTCCCAAAGAAAAGTTGAAAGATATGCCACATGATATAGCCTGATCATATGCTACATGAGAATATGATAACTCTGTTAACTATGTATGACAATTGTACCGCCAACTTTTCTTTTCTGTATCCCCACGTTAAATGACAAAAAATTTAAAAATAAAGAATTTATAAAAAAAAAAAAGGGTAAATTGTAAGTGTAGGACTCACATAAGAGGTTTTTCCTTGACGTGGTAGGTGACCTTACACTTTAATGGCCAATGGCCCTACTGCATAGGGATTTGGGATAGAACGCAAGTGACTTTTTGCAGCAGCCAATCAGAATCTGTGAATGGCATATTAGCTCCCAAATTTCCACTGTGTGAGACATTGTCTTAGAACTCTTTGATGTCCAAGGTTAAATATATATAATGTAGATTGGATTATTTTGGCATTATATATATATATATATAGATAGATATACTAAACAGAATAAAAATAATAACACAAGTCATATATAGAGATGTCGCGAACCGTTCGCGAACTTCCCGCGAAGGCAGCTTCAACATGGATGCTGTCCAGGAGGTGGGAGGGTCTGGGAGGGAGGGTCTGCTGGAGATTGGCTGGGATGTGTCAGCTGACCGGAGCTCGCCGCGAACGGCTCGTGGCGAGCTGTTCGCGGGAAGTTCGCGAACGGTTCGCGACATCTCTAGTCATATATTGTTTTTAAGGTGCATGGCTATTTATGATATGATTGTAATATAATAATCTCTTGCAGTTTATGTATGAAGTTCTGATGTGATTTTAAGTAGAGTGTTGATAGAGTGGATTAAATATGTGTTGGACTTACCATTGGCAAATCACTCAGTGCGCTAGACCCATCCACTGAACAAAGAGCCCATTTCATCTTTAGTGTTTGGAATAAAAAGATACTTTGGAAAACAATGGCTATTTACTAAAGCAAACAGGGTGCAATTTGGTTTTTGAATACATTGAGGTTTCTTGGTATTAATGTCTCTGCTGAGGTCAATTCAGAGACCATTGTCTGCTGCTGATCTTTAAAAGCACTATTTTGCACCCAAGTTCACTCTCGGTTCATTGAAGGGTCATTTATTAGGGTCAATAGTGAACAACAATTCTATCAGCAACTTGGTCTATAGTGAAGTCACTAAATGGGTTCTTCACTAAACCGAGAATTGTCAGAATCTGATCAAGGATTCACAAACTTTAATGCACAATTTAGCTATGTTTGAAGTTTGCCATTTTTCTTTTATTCCTTATTTATTCAAAAAGGCATGTTGTAATACATCAGTATCATATTTAAAAAAAGGCGTTTGAGACCATTTTATTACATATTTTATAAAACATTACATCACAAAAAGCTTTTCTTCAGTTTACATTAATATATATCGATAAGATTCACTTCAGTAGTCGTGTTCAAAACTAAATAGAAGACATCTCATGAAGAGCTTCAACAATTTAAAATGATTAACATAGAATGCCTTGTCAACTTGAAACTACCCTTTCCCTGCTTTTTGTCTAGCTTATGGTCACCCCCTGTGGGATGTCCCTTCATTTCACCCTGCCCATCCCCCTAGCCCAGGTATATCTCACAGGGAGACCAAACATTTTTTATATCTATTCATACAGTTTCAGACTATAGCTGTAACTTTATCCTCTATTTTCACTTTTATATCTTTTAGGGTCGGGATGCTATCTCTCAACCATCATGAAGCCAACATTCTAGGAGCTGCTAGCACTATCCTGCTAAATAGTGTTTTGAGAGTGTGAGGGGAGACCATCTATTGACCTAGAGAAGAGGTAAGCCCAGGGCCCAAGTCCTTATTTAGTTGCTACACCATCCCACAGCTTAAGTTAGTTGAGGATGGCCGGACAGGATGTCCTATGTAGGGTCCTATATTGCCTATAGACCCACATATAGAATAGAGAGATCTGACCACATCATACCCACCTCCAAGTCTACCCATCCTCTAGTCTCCAGTGGGGCATGCCAGATCACCTGAGTAAACTAAGCTGCCATGTACTATAGATGGATGTGTGGAAGTCCCAGTCCCCCTGCTTGTTTGGGTTGATATAGTATTTTCTTAGAGAGTCTTTGTCTCTTTCCGCCTAAGATAAATGTGTCACAGCTGTTTGTAGTCCGGTATTGGGAGAGTCTAGAAGTAGAACAACAGTCTAAGCATTATGTTAATTTTTATGGCATGCAGTCTGCCTATCTATGATAATGCGTTTACGTCCAACCTCTCCAGATCTTGCTTTAAGTTTTTGAATGAGAGGCTCATAATTGTCAGGGCTAAGCTGAACTGGGTCAGCTGTAAGGCGCACCCCTAATTAGAGAAGCCAGGTCTACTACACCCGGATCCCAAATCTCCTTTGTAGTTGCACCGCGTCCTGTATAGTAATGCCGAGCGGCAGAGGCGCTGTTTTATTCAAGTTCACTTTAAAGCCCAACAGGGCCCCAAACCATGTTAGCGGGTCAAAAAGGGACAGGAGGGTCTCCACCGGGTCAGGAGCACGCTGTCCACATAATCAAAGACTTCGCATGTCCTGTCCTCCACATGTAAGCCCTTTTTGTTCTCCTGACTTCTTGTTAGATCTAAGAGGGGCTCTAGTTCAAACAGAAACAGTGAAAGCGGGGATACTTCTGTGGTCCCGTTATATAGCGTCAAGAGAGAGCCAGTCAACTCAGGGATCGCTATAATAGCTGTAATTCCTTATAAAGGACTCTAACAGGATCTATGAAGGCTCGTGGGAGCCCCAATGCACCAGTAGAACAAAGAGATATGGCCACTGTATGTGATCAAAGGCCTTCTCCACATTCAAAGACAGGACTAGAGAAGATGCCCACGACAATCCTGCTGACCATAACATGTCACCTATACATCGCAAATTGCTAGCAAATAAATAAATTAAATACTACCTGGGAGAATATAATTGAAACCTTCTTGGGCTCTCCGGTATGCTGTTGACATTGCAGCAATGACTCTGATCTCGGAGGTCTGAAGTTGCTGTGATCACAGTCACGCTGTCTTCAAGTCTTGCAACAGCACACAGTACCTAGTGTCTCAATGAACTTCAAACAACTTGTAGAGTAGAAATAGGAAACCATGGTAGACACGCTGAGTTGTGAGAAACAATATCTGATTTTTTAAAATGCATTTATTTTATAGCCTGGGCAACCTCTGGTACTACAATCCCCACCATGCTCAGCCTGACAATCTTTGTTTTGCTGAATATTATAAGAACCACAGTTAAAATCATCGATCGCACAAAGTTTGTGGAAATAAAATAAAAGTTATTTCAACTTGACAGCTACATTCAAACCTTACACCAAGTGGAAAAGTATCAGTAGCAGAAATTGGCTATTTTGAAAGAAATGTAAAATGTGTATACAATTTCACCACAAGAAAAACAATTCTTGGAGTAACATGCTTGCTTTCACACAAAAAAAAATTATCTCAGATATTTTACTGTTTAGTAAATCCCCTTTAATAAAAAAATGAAAATAAATCAAACGTTGTTAATGTCAAAGCCATCTGCATCTTCTCCCGGTACTAAATGTTCCAAAAACCACTCCTAGCATCAGGGTCAACAAGTAAATTCAGGCTTTGTGTTAATACAATAACTTAACAGTCTATTCATATGTGCAGTTAAGTAATTGATGATTGCATATTTTTGTGTTTTTTTATATATATAACAGAATTGAGCTGCTCCACGAAATACAAGTGGACAAAGGGAACTCTATTTGAGGACCTTTTTGATCTTCCAAATAATGTTTTGGAGGTTTTTTTTGTGCAGATTTTATTATGTAAGAGAAGATCTTTCATACCCATACAAAGCAACAATTCACTGGTTTCATTTTACACGTTTGTCGAGCCATTTTTGTCTACTAGTTTTGCCCGTTATTCCTAATGTGATCATTGGAGCTGGAGTCGATATTGCACTCACACTATCTTGGCTGTATATGGCATTTAGTGTAGACATTCCAATAAACCAGGAATCTCGTACTCTGGTTCTCCAGATGTCGATGGCCTACAACCTCCACAATTCTTTGAATGCAAAAGATGGCTAGAGAATCATGGGTGTTGTACTTCAGTGACATATGCGGTAGAGTATGAGATGCGTTCAACAAACCTTTGTCAGTTACGTAATGTAGCGCTATAGACAGGTTTCACATGCTTCCATGGCATCAATGGAGACTAGTGGGTTTGGATCCTGAACAGAGCTGCTGCAGAAAGTATGAAGAATGTGTTATGAGTTCAATTCCCTTCTGTGGTTCTTGATGACCCGATAGCACATATTTCTATGTTATTGTGTATCAACCCAGCTAGTTTTTCCATTAATCCAGTCTCTCAGAATTCCAGGAGTGATGTTGTTATATCACTGTTTTGTTATATTGTGGTTGTGTGTTTCTGGCATTCCCTGACTTCACTCTTTCCTTTTACCGTGAAGCTCAGTATTTACTGACCTCTCTGGGCGTTCTGTGCATTAAAGAGACACTTTATGCAATGTAAGTGTTTCATCTTATTTAGGTGGTTATAGTGATTAATATTGGCATGTATATAGCGCCAACTTATTTTACAGCACATTACAATACTATAAAAGGGGGAAATTTAACAATAAAAGAGAACATTTTACAAGTTTTTATCTAATAAAACATGGGGAGACCAAGTGACAAATGTCCAATATTAATTTAAATATTAAAAAATTATATATTTAGCTAGCTGGGATGGGTGGAAGTTAGTGGGGAATTGGGGAATTTGGTGTTAGGCTAACTAGGGGTTAACGTTAAAAAAAGTTTTAAAATAAGCTTTAAAAAGGTAAAAAAAATTTTTTTTTAAATGTTTTAGTAACGTTTAAGTAAAAAAAAAAAAAATACCACCCCCTTTACCCAGTCTAAATAAAAATTAACCCCTTCCCTGCCAGCTGATCACTGCCTACAGTGATCAAAATACAGATCACAGTATTATACTGTGATCTAATTTTTTTAACCCCTGAGGATTAACTTTTATTTATTTTTTTTAACCCTCAGGGGTTCCATTTATTTAATTAATTAATTTAAATATTTTATAATTAAATATTTTGCTAGCTGGGGTGGGTGGGAGTTATGGGAAAATGGGGAATTTACGGTTAGTGCTGCTTACTGCTAGTTAGGGGTTAACGGTAAAAGAAAAGTTTAGAAAAAAAATTAAAAGTGTAAAAAAAGTTAAGATAGTGTAAAACATTTAATAAGTAAAAAAAAAAGTTTAAAAATGGGTTTTACAAAGTAAAAAAAGTTTTACAAAGTAAAAAAATACATTTAAAAATGCTCATTACCACTACACTTGGTACAAGCTAGCGGAAATATTATCCCACGCTAAGGTTCAAAATATGCCTTTTGAATTACCCTGGGATGTCTTCTTTAAGAAATGATATGCCTTTATGGTGTAATTGGATGATATAGCCTTGTAAAATACTCTAAAATGGGACATGGACACAGCGTAAAAATTCAAAGTTTGGAAAAAACTGGAATGGCTGTGTCTCAAATGTGCCCCTTCAATGTCCACATATACCTGGCAAAGGTACATACGGGGGTATTGCTGTACTCAGCGACATAGCTGAACAACATATGAAGTAGTATACAGTCGTAGTACACATAAGGTTTGCAAAATATACTGCGCAAACTCACTTTGTGTGTCAAAAAGGCAGAAAAAATGCTTATTACCACTACACTTGGTACAAGCTAGCGGAAAAATTATCCCACGCTAAGGTTCAAAATATGCCTTTTGAATTACCCCGGGATGTCTTCTTTAAGAAATGGTATGCCTTTATGGTGTAATTGGATTATATAGCCTTTTAAAATACTCTAAAATGGGACATGGACACAGCGTAAAAATTCAAAGTTTGAAAAAAATGGAATGGCTGTGTCTCAAATGTGCCCCTTCAATGTCCACATAAACCTGGCAAAGGTACATACGGGGGTATTGATGTACTCAGCCGACATAGCTGAGCAACATATGAAGTAGTATACAGTCGTAGTACACATAAGGTTTGCAAAATATACTGCGCAAACTCACTTTGTGTGTCAAAAAGGCAGAAAAAATGCTTATTACCACTACACTTGGTACAAGCTAGCGGAAAAATTATCCCACGCTAAGGTTCAAAATATGCCTTTTGAATTACCCCGGGATGTCTTCTTTAAGAAATGGTATGCCTTTATGGTGTAATTGGATTATATAGCCTTTTAAAATACTCTAAAATGGGACATGGACACAGCGTAAAAATTCAAAGTTTGAAAAAAATGGAATGGCTGTGTCTCAAATGTGCCCCTTCAATGTCCACATAAACCTGGCAAAGGTACATACGGGGGTATTGATGTACTCAGCCGACATAGCTGAGCAACATATGAAGTAGTATACAGTCGTAGTACACATAAGGTTTGCAAAATATACTGCGCAAACTCACTTTGTGTGTCAAAAAGGCAGAAAAAATGCTTATTACCACTACACTTGGTACAAGCTAGCGGAAAAATTATCCCACGCTAAGGTTCAAAATATGCCTTTTGAATTACCCCGGGATGTCTTCTTTAAGAAATGGTATGGCTTTATGGGGTATTTGGATTATATAGCCTGGTAAAATACTCTAAAATGGGACATGGGAACAGTGTAAAAATTTAAAGTTTGAAATGAACTGGAATGGCTGTGTCCCAAATGTGCCCCTCCGATGTCCACATATACCTGGCAAAGGTACATACGGGGGTATTGATGTACTCAGCCGACATAGCTGAGCAACATATGAAGTATTATACAGTCGTAGCACACATAAGATTTGCAAAATGTACTGCGCAAATTTACTTTGTGTGTCAAAAAGGCAAAAAAACGCTTATTACCATTACACTTGGTACAAGCTAGCGGAAAAATTATCCCACGCTAAGGTTCAAAATATGCCTTTTGAAATACCCTGGGATGTGTTCTTTAAGAAATGGTATGCCTTTATGGTGTAGTTGTAATATGTAGCCTGCTCAAGTGCTCCAAAGTGGGCACGGACGCATCAAAACCCTCCATGGAAATTCACACTTAAAAACCTTAACTTGTTACGTCTCTTTTATAGCAGTGTAACTTCACAAAATAGTGTCTAGGTCATACATTGGGCATATTGTTTTACTCAGAAGACTTAGCTGAGCATAATTTGGGGGGTTTGAACTTAGTGGCACATATGAAATGTACAAAATGCCCAGCAAAAATGTAATCCGTATGTAAAAAATGCCCAAAATTATTTTTTACCACATACTTTGGCATATATTGGTGAAAAAATGGGGGCATGTTAAGGCACAATATGCACCATATGAGATACCCTGGAGTGTCTACTTTTATAAATGGTAGGCCTTTGTGGGTTTTTTTTGAACAGTCAAACTGCTATAATACCCCAAATTGAAGCATAGGCCCATTAAATCCGCCTCTCAAAATTCTACTGTAAATGTTGAAACGGACAGGTCTCCTATATGGCACTGTAGCTTCACGAAATAGTGCCAAAGACATACAATGGGGGTATCGTTGTACTCAGCAGAAGTAACTGAACACAAAATAAAACTTTGTACAGGAATAGCACACACCAACTTTACAAAATATACATGAGAAGTTCTTTGTTATAAGTTTGTGTGCCAAAAACTCCAAAAAACTAAATTTTACTCCAATATTTAGCAGAGATTGGCGGTGAAATGGCTACTTAGAAAGTGTCAAAAAAACCTTAGGACAATAGCCTGTGATGTCTACTTTATATAAATATATACTTTTGTGTGGCAATTTTGTTTTCTTTTATGGCTATTAAGCTTACAAGACAAACATACAAAATTCTAAAATCGCTCTACATTAAAAGTTTATTTTACTCCTTGTGCTTTATGACCTGTAACTACCAAAAAAAACTTTAAATCCCAGACACATTATATATTTTGTAAATCAGAACAACTAAATAAATTTATTTTTAATTACTTTCTTTAACCTGCACTAATTAGGCACACATTATTATTGCAAAAACTGTACAAAAAACACAAAATTTTTCTTTTTTTTGCATTTTTCTGTATTTTTTAAATAATAAATAAGCATTTATATATATATATGTTACATCAAATTAAAGCCCTTTATGTCCTTTAAAAAACAGTATATAATATGTGTCGGTGCAATAAACGAGAGAGATGCAAATTGCAGTTGAACGCATACAGCAAGAAAATGCAAAAATTGCTTGTGTCATTAAGCGTAAGACAAGCTTCTGAAGCTGTGTCCTTAAGGGGTTAATAAATGAACCCCATAAAATACACACATATGAACAAACAAGCAAGAAAAAAAGTAAACAAATTTATAAATAATCGTATTCTGCACCAATAAATATCCCCACCACCCACCCTTCAAAAATATGTATGATTGCGATGCTGTTGGTGTAATGCAGAGCAGTTTAATGTGATAAAACAATATTAGAGTGGGGGGCTGCCTGGCTGATGTGTCCCCATTCGATGTAGGAGGCGTTAGTAAAAGATAGATGATCTGAACACCAGGAGGAGTACAGCCCAGCTCCCTGCAGTTGCTTGAAAACACAGTCTTTCTATTTTCTTTACAGCCACATTGTTCTCGAGTCTTCTAGAACACTGTGTACTATCAGAGTTCAGGGCTAAGAATGTTATTGACCGCAAGGAGGATCCTTCCACAGCCCGGCCCATTCATTTCCTCCTCAGACTGTACTGAGCACAGAGCTGGATGTAGTGTAAACAACTGCTGTCCACTGTGGAATAAAACTCCTATCACACTCAGCTCTGCCTAGCTTGCTGCCTGCAGATCTTCTAGTCAGTTTTAACCAGCTAGAGCTGGCATGCTGGAGTTTGTGCATGGCATTCCATGCAAATTAACATACTTTTACCTGGGTTATATGAAATAATTATAATAATTAAATAACCTGTTTTCCTTGCTTACACAATATGCTCAGTGATGAGACAGCATATTACAGACATTTTGTGCCAGCAGGGTTTACAAAAACAAAATAATTCTAATTAAAATATAAAATCATATGAACCATATGATGGGGGACTTCTTCCCTGTAATCCTCTTTCTCTTTTTATTTTACATCCATATTTAACTGAGAAAACCAGAATTAAATGGTAAAATGTAAAATTTTAATTTCGGGAATATAGAGCAAAAGCGTATAATTGTTTTGCACTGTGACAACTTGATGAGATTAAGATAATACTAAAACACTCACATGGGTATTTGTTTTAATGATGATAGATTAGGGTTCAGGAGTTCATTGTGTTTTATGGTCAGTAGTAGGGAATGGTCCTAATTTTCACACATAGACAAAGTACAGACCTCTATATACTTGTCTGGCTTGTTTAACCCCTTAAGGACTTCTGGAATAAACTTCTGGAATAAAAGGGAATCATGACATGTTACACATGTCATGTGTCCTTAAGGAGTTAAGCAATCCAGCTTTTACTGCCTATATTGTCCATGATAAGCAGCCATCAAGAACTATACAGATGTATTCTCTAAACCAGCAATTATGGACAAATGACTAAGAAAAATGTGAGGCAAATAATGTCTGAAGTCCCCTGGCACCATCCCTCCATTAAACATTAAACAATTTTTTAAGTTTTCATGCTAAACGAGAGCTCCCAGCAGCCCAATCCCCTCCGTGCTGCATGAGCAAATAAGGAAGCATTAGCCTGAGAAACAATGGGTGGCTGTGATTGGTTGAGAGTGTCAGCTGACCACTTTCAGCCTATCACAGCACCCTTTGCTGGTATGAATTGGTATGGCTAGAAGGAAGTGTGTAATCTCTGCCTTAGCAATGCCTCCAGAGGAGTCTGGAACCATTATTTAGTGTTAAACTGTTTAAAAATGTTTTAACACTGAATGGAGAGATAGCATCAGGGGATTCCAGGCAATATAACAAATTCAATGAGATGAAATGTTCATAGTTCCTATAGTGTCCCTTTAAGACTTACCATTCTATGGCTTGGTAATATGGCTCTATAAGATGGATCATGGATGAGCCACTCCCCTGACAATGTCAGCTGTCCAAACCTGGCTCTCCAGCTATTTTGGATTTTGGTTCATTACATTTTCTGCTGGCGCTATTGTACGCAGGCACTTTCATTGGCCTTGCTCAATACATCCAGTCCAACAAGACACCAACAAGAGCTGATTGTGAAACACTGATATTTTAAAGCAGCATATCCAAACTCTGGTAAGTTTATTTGCAACCACTGCAACTCTTAAATAAAATGGGACATAGCGCTAAGTGATGAATATCAAGGGACGCTATAGGCACAAGAATAGCTTTAGCTTAATGAAGCAGTTTTGGTGTATAGATTATGCCCCTGCAGTCTTATTGCTCAATTATCTGCCATTAAGGATTTAAATCACTTTTGTTTCTGCCCATGCAAACCTAGTCACCCCTATCCTGACTGTGACTGTCATAGCCTGCATGACTTTTTTTTTTAAATCAGATGTTAACTTGCTTTAGCAGTTTTTATCGCCTGTTCTGTAAGTTGAACTTTAATCACACACAGGAGGCTCTTGTGGAGTCTAGGAGGCTATTAACAGAGCAGATGATAATACAATTCTACATTAAACAGAATGTCCAATAAAGAAAGTTTAAACATCAGCTCTCTATTTACAGGAAGTGTTAGAAAGGGCTGTGCAAGTCACGTGCAGGGAGGCCTGACAAGGACCGTATAAACAAAGTGATTTAACTCCTAAAAGCAAATAATTGAGCAGTGTGACGACAGGGGCATGATCTATACACCAAAACTGCTTCATTAAGCTAAAGTTGTTCTGGTGCCTACAGTGTCTCTTAAGATCCTTAATGATTAGTGATCATTAAAGGAACACTATACTGTCAGTAATACAAACACTATAGTTATAAATGTGCTGTTTAGGTGGCCTGCCTCGCACCAACCAACTGCTCCTCCCACCCCCCACCCCATTAAAAAGGTGATTTTGCTTTCCTTTTTTATAGCATTACAAATGTCTCAACCCAGCTCTGCCAAACATGACGATTTCAGCCAATCCAATACTTTCCCATAGTAAAGTATTGGGAGGCTATTGCGCAAACACTGCAAAATGCCACGCTGCGCCAATCAGCATCTCCTCATAGAGATGTACTGAATCAGTGCATCTCTGAGGAACATTCAGCGCCTCCATGCATACCATGAACTTGCTGAATGTCAATGCTGCATTCTGTGTGACTGCCTCTAGAGGTTAATACGTTAGAAGGGTTAATAGGGAAAAGTGTATGCTTTATAATTATTTTATAACAAAACTTTTCACTGTTTGTAACTAAGATGTTCAAGGCCAGCAGGTGTGAGGACTTACCCTCCTCCCTATTAGAAGAGTCTACTTTACTGTTAGGGGAATAGACAAAGAACGGTGTATGCCAAGACTAACAATGTAAAATTATTTTTTTTAAATTAAATTCTCTTTCACTGATATGTATATATTCGAGATGTTAATGTGTATGCTCTCAGAACCAGTTTGGACTGCTTCTCCTCTATTGCAATATAGACATGATCCTATACTTCCAGTATTCCGGCCTCTGACTGGTTCCTTGGAAAAGACTTTTCAGAGGGTATTTGGCCAACAACTGGAGTGCACACTTTAACCAGATAAAAAACATTTGATCTATATGTTGTGCCAGTTATAACTATAGCAATGCTTGTTTATTAATTATTGTTGCTGTTTTTTTTCTTTCTCTTTTTCCATTCTCAGCCTTTACCCAGAGGTGTAACTAGAAATCACTGGGCCCGGGTGCAAAAATTGTCCTGGGCCACCCCCCCATGTGACTCATCTCCCCCAGCCCCTCTACTCCTTAGCCCCTCCATGCATCTCATTTCCCCCCAGGCCTTCCATGCGTCTTATGTCCCTCATAGCCCCTCCATGCGTCTCATTTTTCCCCAGCCCCTCCATGCGTTTTCATCCCCCCTCCATTCCTCCTTAGCCCTTCCATGCGTCTCATTTCCCCCATCCTCTCCATGTGTGTCATTCCCAACTCCTCTCCAGCCTTTCTATGTGTCATTCCCAACCACGTCAGCCCCTCCATGTGTGTCATTAACAACCCCCCCCTCCCTGTGCCTGCTCACTGCCGTGGTACCCGTTCTGACAGTCTCTCAGTAAGCACTTTCTGTCAGACTGCTCAACACACGACACACAGGGCAGTAGGGGAGCAGCACAGCACAGCCCTCCCTTCTTGCCAGCAACCGCGGGCCCCTGGCCTGTGTGACTGTTCACCGGCCCAGAAGGTATGCGGGCAGCCCGTAGTTGCAGGGGCAATCCCTGCGATCCTGGTAGGTACACCACTGCTTTTACCACTAGGTTATCAGCAGTGTGCTATAGTATTTATGGGGCCAGGAGTGTCCTGGGGCCTCACTCAGTGTACTTAGTGAAACCATTTAGGAGCGGAGCTACGTTCATTGGCTGAGAATGATCAGCTGACTCTCTCAGCCATGGAGTACTGCAGAGCTCAGTTTGTTTCATCTAAATGTAAAAGTTATAGTGACCATATCCGATCATTGCAAACAGTATTTTATTGCTATACAAACAACTGTATGCTTGAAGGGGATAGTTTTCCTAATTTTCACGGCTTTGTACAATACATTTACAATAGCTTTTGGATAGGCATGAAAGTTATAGAACCTGTTCAGGCAGGTTCCCTACATACAGCTGCAACTTTGTTGCATTTAAAATAATTATCCAAATACTGTATTGGAGTGTCAGCCATTTGCAAAATTCAGCATTGGAATTAGAGACCTGTGCATGGCCTTAGCACATTTTGTACAATCACTGTCCATTGTTCTTGGTGTCATATAATGCTTTGGAATCCTCATTTTTGGTTGAATACTCCCAGAGGGGCTGTATTTAAGCAGTAAAGCTATAAAACAGACACTTGTAGGAGAAAATTATATTTATGACCCATTGTACACACACTAAAGTGGTAAAGTCCATAAAATTACCAAATAAATCTTAATTGTTGTCAGGATTTAGGTACAAACAGATCGTTTGTTCATCATGGTTGCAAATGGGAAAAAAACATTTTTAAAGTTGGTGGGGGGAGGTAACCAGGGCCGGTGCAAGGATTTTTGCCGCCCTAGGCAAAAGTAAAGTTTGCCGCCCCCCCATGTGACATCACAATGCTCCACCCATATGATCTGCCATGTTAACTAATGCCAGTGCTGCAGCGCCACCGTGTTTACATTAAAAGGGACTGGCGTACATACCAGGGTCGCAGGGGTCGCGACTGCGACCGGGCCCGGCCCACCAGGGGGCCCGGCCGCCCCTGCGACCCGGTATGTACGCCCAGGGCCAGCCTCTTCCCCTGGGGGGCCCAGGAGCCGACCACCCCAGGGCCCCCCGAGGCTGGCCCTGCTGACCCCAGCAGGCGGTGGCCGGTCGGGCAGGCGGGCGCGCGAGGGAGCACTCAGTGCTTCCTCTTCAGCTCCCTCGCGCACCGCACTGATACCGGAGCCGGAAGATGACGTCATCTTCCGGCGCCGGCATCCCTACGCGGCGCGCGAGGGAGCTGAAGAGGAAGCACTGAGTGCTCCCTCGCGCGCGCCTGCCTGCCTGCCTGCCCGACCGGCCACCCGCCCAGGAGCCCCACTGGACCCCAGGGAATAATCCCTCCCCAGCACTCCAAAAGGTAAGGAGGCTGGGGGGATTATATTAAAAAAAAAAAAAATCATGTGTGAGTGTTAGAGTGAGTGTTAGTGTGTGTGTCAGTGTGTGTGTGTCTGCTAGTGTGAGTGTTAGTGTGTGTGTCTGCTAGTGAGTGTTAGTGTGTTACTGTGTGTGTCTTACTGAGTGTGTGTGTTAGTGAGTCTGTTTGATGTCTGTTAGTGAGTGTGTGTGTGTCAATGAGAGTGTATGTTTTGTAAGTGAGTGTGTATGTATGTCTGTCGCTGACTGTATCTCTGTCAGTAAATGTGTGTGTCTGTTAGCTAGTGTGTATGCGTCTGTAAGTGTGTGTGTGTGTGTGTCTTCAGCACTTACCTTTCTCCAGCGCCGGACTCCCTTGGCGCTGAGGATCCCTCAACCTCTCAGCTCCGAATGCGACCGCGCACGCATTCAAACCGCCCATAGGAAAGCATTACTCAATGCTTTCCTATGGACGTTCAGTGTGCTCCTCTAGCGGCTGTCAGTGAGACAGCCACTAGAGGCTGGATTAACCCTCAGTGAAACATAGCAGTTTCTCTGAAACTGCTATGTTTTCAGCTGCAGGGTTAAAACTAGAGGGACCTGACACCCAGACAACTTCATTGAGCTGATGTGATCTGGGTGTCTGTAGTGGTCCTTTAAAGGACCACTATAGTGCCAGGAAAACATACTCGTTTTCCTGGCACTATAGTGCCCTGAGGGTGCCCCCACCCTCAGGGACCCCCTCCCGCCCGGCTCTGGAAAGGGGTAAAACTTACCTTTTTCCACCGCTGGGCGGAGAGCTCTCCTCCTCCGATCCTCCTATTCTCCTCCCCGTCGGCTGTATGCGCACGCGCGGCAAGAGCTGTGCACGCATTCAGCCGGTCACATAGGAAAGCATTCATAATGCTTTCCTATGGACGCTGGCGTGCTCTCACTGTGAAACTCACAGTGAGAAGCACGCAAGCGCCTCTAGCGGCTGTCAATGGGACAGCCACTAGAGGAAATAGGGGAAGGCTTAACCGGGCCGCCAAGCTGCATGGCAGCAGAGCAACGAGGCTCCAGGGCCAAGCTCCGAAAAACAGCACAAAATTCAGCTATAATCCGCCCCAAAGCGAGATTGCTCACCAGGATGCCAAGGGGATCTACCCCGACTTTCATCCGATACCAAACTACAGCTAAAAATATGCCGAGAGCACCCGGTCGGACGAACCCGGCCTACGTGGCATTTTAAAGCCTGAACATAGGCAGCAGCTTACGGCAGACAGATACCTAACTGCACGTAGGGAGGAACAAGCATGCCGGTTCCAGGAACATTGATGGGGACCCACAAGGGCGAGAGACGCGGCCCGCTCCGCCCCCCCCCCCGGCCGGTGGGGGTGATCCCGGCCACATGGAGGCTGCACGCCCCGGGCTGGACACAGCCACCTAGGGAACATGCTGAACTCCTATACAGGCAAAGGCTGCCTAAACGTAGCCGCCTGACAACTGCACTCAAAAAAAAAAGGGACACATACCATGGAGCACCAGAAGGGACCAACATGGGCGGCTCACACGGGCCCTGGCAGGGCCAGGCGCCGGACAGATCCACCAGGCCGTGGCCTCGACCACGGGAGAGGTGTGTACCTGGGCATATGGGTCAGGGGTCCCCGGAAAGCCCAGTCCCTGGCGCTGTGAGCCCGGTGGGGCAGGATTGTGCCGCCCCCTCGACGGACCGGTGGTCGTGGGGGGCGGTCACCGGCTCCAAGTATGCGGCCGGCGTCGGGTGAGACGCAGGAACACACTCCTCAAGGGACCCAAACGGGGCCGGGGAGGTGCAGGGAGTGGACGGCCAGAGGACTTTTGTGGTGGGGCCCAACGGACAGTATAAACTCCTGAGTGCCCACGGAACTGTGGGGACCAGACCGGTGAGCGGTGATCGGCATGGGGGTGAGGGAAGGTGACCGGGCACCCCAGGGGCAGTGTGGAAGCAGCACCATGAGAGATTCCCTCCAGATAGACACCGAAACTGTGCAGGACGGTACAATTAGATGAGCAACTGACCGAGCAGCAAGGGCATGCTGCTATGTTCTTAATTGCTACCATATGTTTTCCATGTTTCAGTATTGCCTATGTATCTACCTAATTATTGCATTGTATATGTTAGCTAAACATTGTATTGCTACCATATGCGGACCGCAAAATAAGATGCAGAGAATGATCTCTCCTAGCAAATGTTAAAACAAATATGCAAAATGATATTTGCTGAATCTTAGTTATATTACCTGTGTTCACGTAATTTAACCTTTATGCCCTACTAGGCTATGACCGTTCTTACCCGATATAAAACGCACTCGGCAGCACATGCCTATGTCGCAAACTTATTTTAGTTATGTGACCAGTGGCCGCGTAATTTAACCTTTTTTGCCTTACTGGGCTATGACTGTTCTTATTCGATATAAAACGCACTCTATGACACATGCCCATGTCGATGCTACTTGCGACCACGTACTATAGCCTTTTTGCCCTACTAGGCCTTGACTGTTCTTATTCGATATAAAACGCACTATGCGGCACATGCATATGTCGCAAACTTATTTTAGTTATGTTACTAGAGGTCACGTAATTTAACCCTTTTTTTTTTTTTTTATCTTGTTGTTTGTTTATGCATCCCTCTACCAGTATCGCATCAATAGCTAAGGCATACATCAGCACTTGTATTATAGGATGGTCATTTCTTTTAACACTGCATTAGTTTGCCTATATACTTCATTACATGTATTGCATGATCAGCTACAGTTTACCTCAGATTGACGCATTATAGGATGTTGTTACCTTTTATGCTGTAATGCTTAGAAATGTATTCCTGCAAAGTTCAAGTACGCCTATATGTTCTGATCATTACATCTCTGCGCAGGCGATAATCTGCATCTATTCCTATGTGCTAACATTTAAGCCTCTACGTAGGCGACCGTTCACCTTAATGAATGCTATAACTCACTGCTTAAGCCCCTGCGTGGGCAACCTCTGGCTTTATTACGAACCAGTTCGCAATATGCACTTATATTGTGAAAACAATAAAAATATTTAAAACATAAACACAGCAGTTTCTCTGAAACTGCTATGTTTATGAAAAAACGGGTTAACCCTAGCTCGACCTGGCACCCAGACCACTTCATTAAGCTGAAGTGGTCTGGGTGCCCAGAGTGGTCCTTTAAGTGTGTGTGCATCTGCATGCACTGGCGTACATACCGCGGTCGCAGGGGTCGCAGCCCTGTAACCCCTGCGACCAGGTGCCCACCGCCATGTGTTGCGGCCCAGCCCGCGCGCGGGGGGGGGGCCCACGGATCAATTTTCGTACCGGGGCCCCATGGGTCATGTGTACGCCACTGTTAAAAGGCCTGCAGGGACAGGCTATAAACACCAGAACCACTACATTAAGCTGCAGTGGTTCTGGGGACTATAGTGTTTCTTTAATGTGAGGTAAATTAGAGATTAGTGCCACGAATAATATACTAGATTGCCTACTTACAACCAGATGAGGATGATGATGGGCTCTAGCTGCAGTCTGGCTCCACTGGTCTGGTGCAGAACAGGCTCTCTGGAGGCGGTTTGTAACTGTGGTCACAAAAAGCAATGTTCTGGGAGAACGGGAAGCAGCTCAATTTTTTGGGGGCCCTTTACACAGCTCAAGGTCTGGGTCCCAGGGTCCACCTTCATGTTCCACCAATGAGTTTGTTCACAGGGGGTTCAGTGTGTAGGGGATGTCCTGATATGTGTGTAAGGAATGCATTGTGTGAATCTGTGTTTGTATGTGTAAGGGCTGCAAGGTGTGTTTCTGTGTATGTACGGGATGCAGTGTGGGCGTTTTTTAGGGATGCATTGAGTGTGTGTAAGGGGTGCATTGAGTATGTGTAAGGAATGCATTGTGTGTAAGGGTTGCATTGCTTGTGTATGTGTGTAATGCATTGTGTGTTTTTCTGTGTGCATTGTCTTTGTGTGTAAGGGGGGCATTGTGTGTGTGTGAGGGATGTCAATCTCTCCCCCCTCTTTTGTCACACTCTTCTCCCCCCTCTCCCTCCCTTTTCACTCTCTTATCCCCCCTTGTCCCTCTCTTCTCCCCCCTCCCTTGTCACTGTCTTCTCCCCCGTTGTCACTCTCTTCTCCCCTCCCCACTCTCATTCCCCTTCCTCCCCATCAATTTCTTTCTACCCCCTCCCTGTCAATTTCTTTCTACCCCTCCCTGTCAATTTCTTTTCTCCCTCCCTGTCAATTTTTTCTCCCTCCTCCCTGTCAATTTATTTCTCCCCTCCCTGTCAATTTATTTCTCCCCCTCCTGTCAATTTATTTCTCCCCGTCAATTTATTTCTCCCCGTCAATTTATTTCCCCCCTGTCAATCTCTTTCTCCCCTGTCAATTTCTTTCTCCCCCCTGTCAATTTCTTTCTCCCCCCTGTCAATTTCTTTCTCCCCCTGTCAATTTATTACTCCCTCCTCCCTCTGTTGTAGCATGGCCGAGCTCTGTATGGTCCACGGGTACAGGGAGCTTTTGTTTCCTGTACCCGGCCGGACTAAAAGGAAGTGCACACTCAGTGTTGACAGGGGGGGGGAAGAGTCCATGAGGGCGCAGCATGAGGAGAGGCGCTGAAAGGAGGGAAGCGCTCAGCACTCCCTCCTGTCACTCCCTCACTGTAGCGTGGCCGAGCTCTGTATGGTCGCGGGTCCAGGGAGCATCTGTCTCCTGTACCCGGCCGGACTAACACTGAGTGTGCACTTCCTTTTAGTCCAGCCGGGTACAGGAAACAAAAGCTCCCTGTACCCGCGGACCATACAGAGCTCGGCCACGCTACAACAGAGGTAAGGGAGGGGGGAGTAGCATCAATCTGGATATTTAACAGATGAAGGGAACGTAATGCACCGCACAAGCTTTAGGCATTCCCCATACGAAAGCATTGACTCAATGCTTCCCTATGTGTTTTGCTTGACACTGGTTGTCCTCATGCACAACGTGTGGACGTCCAGCGTCGAATCATGTCAAACTCTGAAACTGCAGGAAGCGCCTGTAGTGGCTATCAGGTAGGCAGCCACTAGAGGCAATCTTAACCCTGAAATCTAAACACTGCAGTTTCTGTAAACCGGCAATGTTATATATATCGCAGGGTTAGGGGTACAGGGACACTGCACTCAGAAGAATTCAATGAGATGCCTATAGTGTCCCTTTAAAGAGGGGGGTCTAGACACCATAACAAAAACTAAAACCCAATGTTGTTGTGCCACAAATCCCTTCTCACTGTCCCACAGTAAGTAGTCAAATTCGTTTTGAATGGTTTGACACTTACCTGGGTCCTCTGGGGACCTCCAGTATGGCCACCATTTCTGATATATCTAAAGTGGATGTTTTCGTTCCTATTTGAGTAAAATTCATATGCTGAGATTCAGCTGATGCTTTCAAACACTGAATTCTGTCCAAACATGGTGGAATTGATGTCACAGAGATATCAGAAAAGGAGGCCGGTGCTAAATGAAGTGGGAAAGAGTCAAACCATTCTATATAAATCTTTATGTTTTAGTTTTCATGCTATTTAAAGGTTTACTCCAACGCTTTTTTAAATTTCTCTTTGTTATAGATATATTTTTTTAAGTATAATACCCCCCTCAACTAAACAAAGAAGTATAAAGCTATTTTCTATCTGGAATCTAGCGCCAAGACGAACGCAGCTTTCCACACCTATTTGTCACATCAGGGAAGCCATGCAAGGCCCAATCATGGTTTTATGCCCGCTAAAAGCGCATTCACATTGTGTACATTCACATTGTGTAAGTGCACACAGGGTGGGAGGGAGGGGAATGCTAGCTTCCACTTGTAGGTGCATTGCCTGCAAGAGAGAAGATCTTTACATCTGTCACCAGCATGCAGTGTGTGCTGACGACAGATGGAAAATATGCACAGAATTGACACTGGGCAGTCCAGGAATAGAGCTACCTAAGTCACATGGGCAGGGGGTACAACTAGCATTTTTAAATTGTAAAAAAATAAAAAAAAATAATAATAATCATATTTCATGAGGCCTCTGTAGATCTGCAATATATAACAAATGTAATTGTTTTCTTTTTATATACTACTGTTTTGAATTTTTAGAGAAGACAGCGGTTCTCTGCAGCAAATACTTTATTTTTTTTCTTTTCATGTTTAGCCCAATACCTCTGTATTACAATTATCGCCCTGTTTAGCTGCCAGTGTTTAACTCCATTTCCTATTTTACAGTCTATGACTTAAGTTTAAATGAACAGTAAAATGGCTATATATTAGAGTAGTTCAAAAATAATACCAATTTAAGGAACTTTCATCTGTTAGTAAACTACAACTCCCATGAACCTTTGCTATCAGTCTGCTTTGTTTTTGACCATCACAAGTTTCATAGGAGTGTTACTTCGTTAATGTTTTGAAGGCTAGTAATAATTACACATCCCTAGAGTGGTTCATCACCATGTCATGTTATTCAATCTTCCTGTGATTACCAGTGTCCATTACTCCTGTTATACTTTATTAATTTTAAAGCACTGGGGGGAGGGGAGGGACATTGTATGAGTTGCATTCATCAGGAACATTCCATTGGTTTCTCTAGTGACTGCTCCATGTTATGACCTTCCCTTCACAAGTGATCTTTGCCTATTACTACTTTGAGAACCAGATTAAACCTGTCAGATTTTGGAACAGAAACCCCCCAGCTGATTTTGTTTTTTTGTGGGGAAGGCCTAATATCTAATACAATATACGACTGTATTATTATTAATAATATTATTATCGGCATTTATTTAGCGCATACATATTCTGAAGCATTATACAATTATAGCGTGGGATAACAAGTAACTGACATACAAAATATTAACAGAGACAAGATGATGATTATTATAAAGCATGATAAATAGATTGAAAACTACAGCTCAGTAGTCTGCAGTGGTTATGGTGCACAGTCATTTGTCTCTTTTGGAGCAGTTTGACAAAAAAACATGTCCCACCACCTTGTACGAATTAGTGCTCTGTAACAAACTGGCCAATATTCATTACACTATACTTATCAACCTTTTTTTCAGTTACTATAAAATGACTAGGAATATTGGAATTGTTCGCTGTAAGGTACCACTAATGTCAACATTTGCAATGACAATGGCATCATACAATACAGTACCGAAAGGAAAAAAAAACACAAAAGGAAAACAAACTGTAAAGTAAAAGGAAAATGATTACATTAAAATGTATATTTAATGTAGCTATCACCAGATATGCTATGAGTAAGGCAATGTCCCTGTTTGCTTTCATCACTTTCGATCTCATTGTGTGTCTGTGTTGCTGCAGGTTAGATGCAGTCTGATGTAATGTGCTCTGTGTTTACTGGCACTGTATTGGCATTCGAAATGAGAATGCAGTCATGATGCAAGAGGCTGTGTGATTGCAATCGGATGGAGCGGGCGGCGCTAGGACCGCGGGCAGGCTGGGGCCGAGCTGTTTTACAGCTGCTGGGATATATACGTGCAGAGCTGGCTGTGCTTCTAATTCCCATAGTGCGGTCAGTCAGTGTACTGGGCTGCAGGCACTGCCTGGAGGAGGAATGGGCCATAGACTCCTGATATCTAACAGCTCCATTAACCCCTGCACAAACAAACAACATGGCCATGGATTTACTTATCAAAGCCAAACATGGACTTCAATGGACAATACTGATCTTTATATAGAACAAACTGTAAATAAATTATATGATTTTGCTATGAAATACATAAAGATAAAAAGTTGCAACTTTACATACAATTTAAAAATCTCTCTCTATATATATATTTAAACTATTTTATTTTTGTAATCCAGTAGTAAAAATAATTTAAATTAGCATATTTCTGCCATTCCTTCTTAGGGTGCCAATGGGTGAAGTATGATGGGTCAGTGGTAGGGCCTGGACATATTTTTTACTTCCAGAAATCACAATCTCATACAAAGATTCAGGAATAAAGACTGCCCCTGGTAGACCAGCCTGAATCAGAATGGTTTAGTGTTGCCCCCCTCCAGTTTGGGTATCATTGGGTCTCATTTAAGACTTTAGTAGTCTGGCACTTTGTGTGACTTTTCTCATTTATCCAGATAGTCTTTTTGTGTCTGAAACATTAAATCATATAATCTGCTGATTTTGGTTAACCAGTGTATAGTTACATGGGAAGTGACAATTTAATTAAGGCAATGATCAGATTCTAATACATCCCATGCACCCACCCATTGCACAGTAAACAAGCCCTATTCTAAAACAATACATACAATACAATATATGTACTTGGATGAGATAAAATAGATATATATAATAGATTATAAATAGATCTGACTGTGTACTGTACTTCTACCACTTCCCTTTTGGTCACGGCTGTTTAAATAAATCAGCATAGAATGAGATTGAGTACATATAAGAGGAAATTGTCTTATAGTACATAAAGCCACACTCTGAGTAAGTTTTCGTCTCTTAAATATACTTACTACAAATAATGTCATTATTGAACATTATTAGTATTAATGTAATTATTGAAGGTTACATTTGTTTTAAAATTAAGAAAACCTCTGTGTGTACACACTAAGTTTGATAACATTATAAAACATCAAATCATGTTGACATTAGTAACATTTCCCAATAAGATTTTCAAGATATAAATAACATGCTGGTTTATACATAGTATTTCTTACTAAAGGAGTAATTTAGAAAGAAGAAAAAAAAAGAATTTGCATGAAAAACTATTCTAAAAGTGGAGCAGTTACCATGGGCACAATTGAAATGTTGCTAATGATTTCTCTGCTTTAAGAACTTTTCACAAAATGTCATGTTAAACCTTCCAATGTTTTGTCGCGGTTGTTGTTTTTAAATTTTTAACTACTTTTTGTTTTTGTTTTCTCACAACAGATTTGCAGCCAAGACTAATGTCACCCCTGCCCCCATCTTTAGTGCTTGAATATAAAATTATATTAAACAAATAAGTGTAATTGTACTCAGAACAGGAAATCACAATTCTATACATTATAGCCCTGGTTTTGCATGTCTACTCTTGATTACACACTGGTAATGATAGTAAACACATTTACTATAAATTCAAACTCTAGTCCTCTTCCTTAAACAGTCTAAGTCTATTTACTGATTTCTGACTCTATCACAACTAACTCCATACAGATCCCAAGAACTTGATGATTAAAATCAAGCACATTCAATAACTACAGCAGAATAAATGTACTCATATTGGATCAACATATTTTTTTTCCATCAGAAACTTTGAGAGCAATTGTTGACATCTTGATTTTATGTTACAATCTGTGCATGTGTCTAAATGAGTAAGAACAATATATTTTAGATAAAATGTATGTCCAAAGTGAGTTAATGCTGTCGATTCTGTTAGAGATCTTGGGTAACCAACTTTATTATTATACACTCTATTAAGTGTTATTTTTATTTTGTCTCAGAGTGCACAGCCTGTGAAATACACACAGCAAAGAAAGTGGTGTGGTTTGTGGAATGTGACCATGCAAAACAACTACTAAGTATCAGCTGCACATCCACATATACAGCATTTGGCAAAAATAAGCATCAGATCAGAGCTTGCATGAGTATCAGGACACAGTTCTACATATTATATCGAATTATAGGAACCTATACATATCACCGTGCATACCCCCACACAGACACCCACACAGTTATGCATAGTATTATAAAATATAACATACTGCATTATATAAAAGATCATGTTCAGTTGTTTTTCTTATTTTGAAAAACAAACATAAAACATCACTTTTAACTAGTCCATATCCTGCAAGACTTGAATAACAAATCTCGTTTTCTCAGTTGACACAATTATTGTTCAAACAATGGATCTATTCATTTTCTATTGTTTTGGGAAATATTGTGCAAAACTCATAGGATTAGATAAAGAATCTTACCATGAATATAGAACAATGAAAAGTGTTGTTTGTTCATTAAAAAAAATAAATATATATATTTTACCCCCCCTAGTGGTGGTAGGGAGGAGGGTAATGGTTAAGAGTCTCTGATCTCAGGAAATTAAACAAAAGAAAAATGAGAGAGAGAAAAAGGCAAAAATAAGTACAAAGGAATGCAGAAAAATGACTAGTGAAATGAGCAGATAGTGTAGAGAAATTATCTCCTTAATTCCTTTGTTTAAAGCGCCCTCCCTCCCCTGATATCCTGCAATAATCACTGTCCCTTTAATGCAGACACTGTCTCCAGGGCTGCTAGTCACAGCTGGGAGGAGGGAGGGGGGCCAGGAGTACTGTAACCAGGCAGGAAAGAACGTTGCGAACGTGCAGACACTTTTGATTGGCGGATAGTGACAGGGGGCGTGGATCTGTGTTCTGCTCAGGTCGAGCCCACGTTCCACTCCCATTCTATGGGCGTGGCTTAGCTCAGCACTATATAAGGCGCTGCACCGTGATGGAAGGTACCAGTGCCAGAAGTGGCGATCTGGGCTTTTGGTGTGCTCAGCAGCTTTGGCGAGTAGCGAGCACTTAGGGGGATTGCTAGCACATCGAAATAAGCACTTAATTCAACAATTACTATCTGATATCCTCCTCTCTCATTTGCACTTAACACCAGACTCCATTGTCGAGCACTGTAAGTATTAATATCTTTGTTTTATCGCTTGATTTCATGTTATTGTCTATGAACCCATTGCACTGTAAACATGTAATGTATATAAATTGCTTTAGTGCACAGATAGTTCCTGGTTTGTCTTGCTTTATATCATATATTGGAAAGTAGTGCTGGTTTATTCACTGAACAGAGAATTGCAATGGAAATGGAATCTGCAAAAAGTACTATTTTATTGGAAAATTAATCTCCAACTTTGTTATAGTCACAACTTGAATATCTGAGCTTTCCCTTTTCAACTCTGGTTTAAATTTGCTAGAATTTTATATTATATATTTTGTTTAGTGAATTAAGCAATTCATCTATGAAATAAATGGCAGAATGAGATTCAGACTCTAAACAGGGTGCAATTACAGTTTGCATATTATATTTACAAAGTAATCCTAATTCAGATTGAAGTTTGCTAATTGCAGTCTTTCCATTATTACATGGTATATGGAGCATAGCTACAGTGTAACTTTTTTTTTGTGCGGTGCATCTTAATGTGCAGTTGATGTCATCCTGCAGTACTTAATTCTATCTTCGCTCTTTGTTCTTTTTGCAGTATTTCTTATTGGCTCTGTAACAACAACTACAAAAAATAAAACATGCCTCTGATACCTTCCTCGACACTTATGCCAAGGGCTCCTCGACTACCCACTGTCGAAGAAGACCCACCAGCCGCCTGGTTTGGAGAATGTACCAGTTTGCCTAAAAGATGTTCCAGTGTATCCAGTTCAGACTGCGAGTCTCTTACCAGTAGCAACTCCTTTTCTGAATGTGGTAAGTTGTTTTAACTTTACATTTTACTTACTTATTGATTTTTTTTTTTTTTTTTTTTTATAAATTGTCAATTTGATATTTTTCTTTTTCTGATAAGTCATTTGATTTATCACTAATGCATAGTAAGTCTTCAACATTATACTGCAGTAGGACCCAGTCTCTAGTTGTTTTGCTATTAGCAATTGTCTGTCATAGCTTTTTCATTTGTAACCCTAGACAATTGATTGAGCATGCAGTTAAAGCAGACTGTAATATTTTGTAGAAAGTGAATTTGTGTTTGTGTTTTTTTTTTTTTTTAATGCAAGTCTAAATTGGTAAATGCCTACACTTTTCCTAACAGACTGCTTCTCTCTATTTTCCAGATTTGGAAAGTATAGATAATGACTGTACAGATAATATATCATTGCCGGACCCTGATCTGTTAAGCGATCCTGAAGGTGAACAGCTTTGCCCCAGTCTTCTCAAGCTCATCCAGCGTTGCCTATCCAAAGCCAGCATTAGCTCCCTGAGATGTTCCAGGCTTCTGCTTCCTGATGACCTCATTGCCAATTTGGGCCAAGAACTGCTGCACCTGGCTTTCAGTGAGCCTTGCGGACTGAGGGGTGCACTTATTGATCTGTGTGTTGAGCACGGCAAGACCTGTCACAGTGTGGCACAGATAACCGCTGACCAAGCAGTCGTTCCAACTTTCCAGCTGACCGTACTGTTGCGTCTGGACTCCAGGCTTTGGCCTAGAATCCAAGGCTTGTTCAGTACCAAGCCAGTCCCAGGGTCAGGACAATCTCTGAAACTCAGTCCAGGTTTCAAGGTTCTTAAAAAGAAGCTGTACAGTTCTGAAGAATATATCATAGAAGAATGCTGATAAATACAACTTTGAAAGAAAAAAATAAACACGTTCACTTTTCGGTACTATTGTATGAAGGCTTTAAAGAGGGTTGGGAGGGAGTTAAAAGTAAGTGGGACAATTTTTAAGGTTATTTTAGTAGATGTAAGTACCAGTCCCTGGATTATTCCCTCTGTTGCTTGAGTCTAGCTATGCCTGGTGTTGACTTTGACAGAGATAGGGGCTTTTTTTTTTTTTTTCTCATCAGACTGACAAAAGAAGACATAACACAGCAACATTAATGTTCTTTCTTTCTGGCAGTGAAATGGTCCAAAGTTGGGACTTTTATTTTCCTCCACGTCATGTGGCTGAGCTAAGTTACATGCCACTTAATGGGTTAACATGTGTAAGCTTTTTATTTTTTGGGGGAGTGGGAAGGGTCACACCGATGTAGTTCTGCAGAGTATGCATAAAATAAGGCAATCTAATAATGTAATGTGCACTAGTAATGTGATTTTTGTAATAACTACTGGGCAGCTGGTCTGCACAATAAGGTGTATTGCCTCTCTACCTCTTATAGAGGGCAAAAATGTAATTATTGAATAACAAAGTACATTTTGCTCATGGGAACAAGTGTTAAAATCACTACTGATGTTATGGCAGCTAAACAATGTATTTGTATATGGCCTAGCCATATGTTTTAGAAAGCACTACTTTTTGTCTGAGTTGTTCTGTATTTGATATACGCATTATGGTTTACAGTGGTACACTTGATGTTCAAGTGTAATTCTACACAATGTGCCTTTTTTACTTTTCTAATAAATGGTAAAATTAAATACATGGTGTCTGTGTTTTGACTATAGCATACTGGGGGGAAGGGATGCCACAAATTCATGGGTCTTAAACAACAGTAACCTGGGCAGATGATAGAGGAATCTGCCCTGATAAAATGCAAGCTACAGCTATTTAAATCGGCATTATCTAGTGTATATTTACAATTACATTAGATTTCTAAGTTGATGTGCCTAGCTCAACACTACCTTTTAATATAATCAGGATTTGGTAGGTCTCTGGGAATGTTCTTATAAGCTGGATTATTCGTACACAAAATAAAAGTTGAAATTCTAAAAAATCCAACACACAGTTCAGCGGCTGTAATGACAATGGACTTGTTTGCTTTAACACAAGGGATTTATGTCCACCTCATTATTAATGAATAGTCATTGCGATTGGTTGATCTATTCCAGCCATTATCACTGCTGCATTCCATTCGTTTTGGACCACAACATAATAAGAATAGAGTAATGTGATTGAGTGTTGTTCTACCGTTACCTGCTAATACAGCAACACTACTGGCTGTCAATGACTCTACCAGTTAGTCATATTTACATATGATTACTATTGATAGTGGATTGCACATCATTCCAGTGTTTTTTCACACTACACCAGTTCTATTGAATTGCTAAAATACTGATTTGGAAAAATTTGCCACAGTTTTTGCTATCTTAGCAAATCAGTTTTCAATAATGTTACAAATAAACCTCCTAGTTGTAACTAACAGATTACATCCTGGGTAGGGGGTACAGGGGCACTACACCCAGACCCCTTAACCCTGCAATTGTTACCCTGTAGGGTTAACGCCACCTCTAGTGGCTGTCTGCCATCACTAGAGGCACTTCCAGATCCTTAGTGGACTTTTGGTCCTCTAACTGATGCTGGACATAGCATGAGGACATTCAGCGACAGCTAAAACCCCATAGGAATGCCAAATGCTTCAATGCTTTCCTATGGGAAAGTTCAGATGCAATTGTGGCACTTGCTGCACATGCGCGTTAGATCCCCCTGATGGCTGAGCAGAGGTGGAGCCTGACAAAGCGCCGAAGGACATCGGTGCTGGAATCAGGTCAATGACAAAAGGGTTTTAGCCCTTTATTGACTGTGGGTGGGAAGAGGATACTATAGTGCTAGGAATACAACTTTGTATTACTAGCACTATAGTTTCACTTCTAAAGTGCAAACAAATTCTGCGGCAATGTAGTCTCTAAACATTGTAAAGAGAGAGCCAAATTAAGTACAAAATGGAATCGTTGGAAAGAATTGCCCAGTACACCTATATTCTTAACCCCTTAAAGTGACTCTCTGGATCCCTAAAGCACTTTAGCTAGCTAGCTTGAAATCATTTTACATAAAGTGCAGATTTCAATAGAAACTGGCACTCTTAAAAGTTTTCTTTGTTACAAGTCAATGGCTTTGAAGCAGACAGCGGTCCTGTTACTTCCTGGTTTGGTTAACTCAATGGAGCTAAACTCAAGAAGCAGACAATTGCTCTGAGCTCCTGCCTTGAAAATACTTCTCATTAAGCTTCATTGGAATGCATGTGATTGGACAGTCAATTTGAGTGCTGCACATAGTTCATATTTTATCAGTCTGGGGCCACTAATTGTGGCACCAGCTGACAAAGGGGTCTCTCAGGCATCTAGTGATACCTGAGGCTCCTTGGTACCAGCATGGATTTAAAGGACCACTATAGTGCCCTGAGGGTGCCCCCATCCTCAGGGTCCCCCTCCCGCCCGGCTCTGGAAGGGGGAAAAGGGATTAAACTTACCTTTTTCCAGCGCTGGGCGGGGAGCTCTCCTCCTTCTCTCCGCCTCCGTTCCTCCTCCTGGGCTGAATGCGCACGCGCGGCAAGAGCTGCGCGCGCATTCAGCCGGTCTCATAGGAAAGCATTTATAATGCTTTCCTATGGACGCTGGCGTGCTCTCACTGTGAAAATCACAGTGAGAAGCACGCAAGCGCCTCTAGTGGCTGTCAATGAGACAGCCACTAGAGGATTAGGGGGAAGGCTTAACCCATTCATAAATATAGCAGTTTCTCTGAAACTGCTATGTTTATGAAAAAATGGGTTAACCCTAGCTGGACCAGGCACCCAGACCACTTCATTAAGCTGAAGTGGTCTGGGTGCCTAGAGTGGTCCTTTAACACTGCTGATATTTTCCATGCGTGAAATTCCCTTCACTGCATTAAAGCACAGACCGTCATGTGATCATTGAGTGGTTAATATGACTACTGTGGTCTGACATTTTAACCCCTTAAGGACACGACATGTGTGACATGTCATGATTCCCTTTTATTCCAGAAGTTTGGTTCTTAAGGGGTTAAACCGTAATATAATTAATTTGTTTAAAGGAACACTATAGAATTAGAAATACAAACCTACATTCCTAACACTATAGTGTCCTAGTGCCTGATTAGTTTTAGTTCCTTCTGTTGCAGTAAAAACCTGAAGTAAAACTTTTTTTTTTTTTTAAAACCTTTTCTCCAGAGTTGAGATCCCCTTGGTGCTGCCGTCCACGCCTCCTCTTGCTATGTCGTCCGGCTTACTCCATGATGGTCCAATCCAATGCTCTTCACAGATGAGTGACTGATGCGCATGCATGGCGAGTGTCACATGCACATTCCGGTTATTGGTGATTTTCAAAGGTTTATTTAGTTGTGTATTTTTCTATATAGGCGAGGGTTCCCATAAATAGGTAGCTCATAAGAAATGTAGCCTGCAGAACTACACAGATTTGAAGAATAATCTTGCTATATCCCTTATCAATCATTGCTAGCAAAATAAGAGCTATAATACACCTTACATAAATTTGTTTATAAACTACCACCATATTCTGCACCTCTGTATAAAAGTGGCATAGTCACCATGGCAGGCATATTGTAGCGGTGGCTCTACCCATTTCCCTGTGGTTCCACCACTGTTCAGAACAGACACTTTTTATACTAAACTCCAGCGTGTTCATAAAATATTGTACCATGTACTGTGGAGGCTAAATTGAAATGTAAATTGCAAAAGTTAGGCATAAATAGCGGATTCGGAAAAATTCTAAAATTCTGCTAAAGACACTGCTTTGCTACTTTAGCCTAAATGGTGCCTTTCAGATTTCAGTTTGCAACAAGTCTCCGAGTATAAAAGTGCTTCTAAACATGCTTTTTTTCCTGCAGGGTTATAATACCGTCTTACTACTCTGCAGACTGCATTCACTAAAAGAAGCTGTGTTTCAAGGGTTATTCAGGTGACCATCTGCTAGAACTTGCAGTTGGCAATAATATATATATATATATATATATAACAGAGCAATGTGAAGATCAAAAGTCAAAGCATTGATAGGTTTGAAAGGCTATACCTAACACAGCAGACTTTCTCAATGTCTGTGATCATGTCCTCCCATAACTCTACAGGTTTCTGTGATTGTGTCACATGTGCACACTAGGGTCAATCAGGTTCTCAACCTTTCTGACAAACCCACATGTGTATGGGTCAAGTAAACCTCAGAACCAAAGATCCCCAAGAATAGACATTGAAAAAGTTTGATCATTCATATGCAACAATTCCATCCATGTGCTGGTGTCTTTTGTTCAACAAAGGTATTGCTAAGGGAATAATATCATGGATTAGTGGTGGGCGATTGCAGTGGTGGTGTATTGCGATGTGTGTTCATGTATCATTCTGTGCCTTGTTTGAACTCATTATTCTACAGTACAGAAAGTGTGGGTGATTAATATTGAACAGATTCCCCATTTAATGTATAAACACAGCACGGTATACATTACCATCGATTGTAATGCAAGCACTTAGTATATTGTTTCATAAGCATGTTGCTCCATTTAAATGGTAGTAGTAACACCCTAATGAATCCTAATTAAGCTTTTGCCTGTGATTAAATCTTTGGTGTAATGCGACAGACTGTTTATATGTTGATTTTATTTTGAACATTAAAATATGTTGACAGAGGGTTTGTAGCTCATAATTGCCTTTGAATTTAATACATTATTATTACTGGCTCTTGCTAAACCATGAATTGAAGACAGTATTGCTCAAATAGACCAGCAGGGTTATTCTCTAACATGTGAATTGTTGGGAATTCCAATTGACTTTTGTATTTTAGGCCAAAGTAGTTGTCAGAGATTCGAAGTGAATTTCAAATTTAAGGTCAAAATAGCCAAACTGAGGGCAAAACCGATTTGGAGAATTTTTTCAGTTTGGCTACTTTGGTCTTAAATTTTAAATTCACTTTGAATTCTGAAAATGTCTCACTTTAGTAAACACATTTCTCACTTTAAGTCAATTATCTTTTCATTTAGCCTATTTTGGTCTAAAATATGAAAATCACTTTGAATTAGAATTGAATCTTTTTAGTGCAAACTGCAATTTGTTTGAATTGGACTGTTGGCCGAATTCCACTGAGTCGAAATGTACCTGAATCACTAACCAAACGTGCCAAGCAATGGCATAAGATGTTCGTTTTGAATTTGATTTGTGATTCTGAATTCTACCCATGGCGCCAAGTATTGATGGAAGCATGATTGATGGCTAGCCGCAGGCATAGGCAACCTTCGGCACTCCAGATGTTTTGTACTACACCTTCCATGATGCTTTGCAAGCATTAAGGGTGTAAAAGCATTACGGGGGATGTAGTCCACAACATCTGGAGTGCCGAAGGTTGCCTATCCCTTGTAAAGGCACTAAATATTGACTTTATTCACAGATCAAGTGAAAAGTGAGCGACAGATGGAATTGTTGAATAGGACAGTGTTTCCAAATCTGTTATTTAAATTAAAAGTGCTTATTATTATTATTTTTTTTTTCTTTTCAATGCACAACTTATTTAAAGAGCCACTAAAATCACCCAGGCCATTTGCTCTTAATCGAGTGGCTTGGATGCACTGGTCCTGCCATTTTAACCATTCAAGTTAAAACATTGTCATATTGCAGAAACAGCAATGTTTAGCTTAAAGGGACACTGCAGTCACCACAACAACTACAGCCTTCAGGCATTTTCATGGCCACTGCATGGGGACGCTGAATTTTCCTCAAAGAGATGTATTGATTCAATGCATCTCTATGAAGAAGTACTGATTGGCCAAAACAGCATTGGTCCCTGCCCCCATTCCGCCTCCTTGCCGATTAAGCCCATCCAATGCTTTCCCTATGGCAAAAAAATCTGCAATTCTGATAATGTCATCAAGGAGGCAGATCAGGGGTGCGGCCAGCACCGGCGGACCCACACAGCGCTGGAAATAAGGTGAGTTTTCGTTCCTTTTAGGGGCTGAGGGGAACGACAAGCCACCTAAATGGTGGGTTTAACACTCTATAGTGTTCCCTTAATTCTTCTGGTTTAACGACTGAGTAAAACTCTGTCACCTGATGTTCGATGTCACATGTCACCAGCTGCAGCTCATTGGAAAGCATTGAGTGTTTTTTTTGTTTTGTTTTTACTTTAGAGAAGCTTTGTTGCATGCGTGAGGAGTTTTGGATTGGACAATTGACAGAGAAGCACAGAGAAGTACTGGTGTTGGAAAAGGCAAGTAAAACATTTTTTTACAAATAATTTTATGGCAAATGGGGAGAGGCATTATAGAATTAGGAATACTGGTATGTACTCCTAACGCTCTAGTGTTCCTTTAATGAATTAACCTCGTGTAATTTGTACTTAATTTGGGACTTTTGTCCTAGTGCTTCAGATTTAGTGGCCAGCAGGAGCTATGGGACAACACTGGTAAAATGTGAAAGAATAACTTGTTTATGTGAAAATGATAGAAATTGGAGGGGGTTGAGCATGTGGTGTATCTTAAGTGATATTGTGGGTTTGGAACAAGGGACATTTTAAAATAGCTGAGAAGGATATTAAACCTTTCTTTTTTTACTCCCGTTTTTAGATTGTTTATGTAATTCTTTATATTCCTCCCTCTCTTTCCCTCCTCTTCCCTTGTTGTGCTTTTTTTTCCTTTCTTTTCTCCTGTTCTGTTCTCTCCTTCTTCTCTCATTCCTTTCCTAGCCTCTTCTTCCTTTCTCCCTGTTCTCGTTTGCTATTTGTTCGAGTGTAGATTATATTCACAATGGTGTTATTTTCTATTTCTGATGTGTTTTCATTTGGAACTTGTTTACTCTGTTTCATGGTTACATATGATATTTGTACAGGAGCTGCTAGATGCTAACACAGCCATGTTTACTCTAGATAACCTTCCCATGTGGTTCTATTGAACGGTCATGCTATGTTTGTTGTTGTGCTACTTGAGACTAGCCACTTAATAAACGCAGATTTAAAACAAAGAGAAATGGCGCTACGTGGTGAGCCGAAAGGGCAATCTTGGATGTTACCACATGATAGCACAGGTACTCCTATCATCCCTTTGGTGGTTATATAAGATCGTAATGGATGAGAAGTAGAATTGCCTGCTCTCACAGCTGAAACACAGTCATTATTGCAAATAAATTAGTTCCAGCAAATGGAAAAAAAACAAAACAAACAACCGAAATTAAAAAAAAAACAAAAAACAATATCTGATGAGTAAATGTAATTTAGCTTGCCATCTATTTGGTGAGGGAGAGACATTATATCACTGGCCATGTACTGAAGTTGTACTTCATAAAAATAAAAACAAAAATATTTCATGTAATATTTAAAGGGACACTATAGTCACCTGAACAACTTTAGCTTAATGAAGCAGTTTTGGTGTATAGAACATGCCCCTGCAGCCTCACTGCTCAATCCTCTGCCATTTAAGAGTTAAATCCCTTTGTTTATGAACCCTAGTCACACCTCCCTGCATGTGACTTGCACAGCCTTCCATAAACACTTCCTGTAAAGAGAGCCCTATTTAGGCTTTCTTTATTGCAAGTTCTGTTTAATTAAGATTTTCTTATTCCCTGCTATGTTAATAGCTTGCTAGACCCTGCAAGAGCCTCCTGTATGTGATTAAAGTTCAATTTAGAGATTGAGATACAATTATTTAAGGTAAATTACATCTGTTTGAAAGTGAAACCATTGGTTTTTTTCATGCAGGCTCTGTCAATCATAGCCAGGGGAGGTGTGGCTAGGGCTGCATAAACAGAAACAAAGTGATTTAACTCCTAAATGACAGTGAACTGAGCAGTGAAATTGCAGGGGAATGATCTATACACTAAAACTGCTTTATTTAGCTAGAGTAATTTAGGTGACTATAGTGTTCCTTTAAGACTTTATGTTGCTGCTAGAATTCAACCACAAAGTTTTAATTACAAAGGTTTATGGTGCAGGAGAGCTACATTTACCGTCCATTTGCACAGACACAGTGAGTCGGAACTAAAAACTGGCAAAACAATTTGTTTTTTTGCAGGATGGAATCCAAGCCTGCACCAAAGGGGATGACTGTAATAAACACGAACACACACACAAATTTACTCACACAGAACTTTATACACATAAAGAATTAAGTAGAATGCAATTTAATAATGAGAGGCTGCAGATTAAATTGGCCTCATTTTTAATTTGTTACACTGTATACCATGGGTCGTCAACCTGGTCCCTACCGCCCACTAGTGGGTGTTTTAGGATTCCAGGTGGGTGGTAGGGATTTTCTAATTTTGAGAGATTGGGCGGGCGGGTGCGAGCCGGCGGTACCCCTGCGACCGGGTACTGCCATCACCTCTTGCGGCCCCGGCCCGCGCGACAAACCGCCGGGGCCGCATATGGAGGGGTCTATCGGGTGGCCCATGCTGTCAGGGCCACCCGATGGATGTGGATTGTGAGGGGGAGGTCAGCACTGGACGCTTTAACGGCGCGACCGGGCCCCCTGTGATTGCATCACAGAGCTGGGAGGAAGTGACTGCACGTCACTCCTCCCAGCTAACACACAGACCGCGCGGGAGGAAGGAGGAGGGAACTCTGACTCCCATCCACCTGAGCCACCACTGGACCCCAAGGAAAGTCACCCTCCTGCACCTAAAAGGTAGGAAACAGGAGGGTGACTAAAATATTTTGTGTGTGTTTGTTTGTGTATGTGTCTTTGTATGTATGTATGTCTGTATGTGTCTTTGTATGTATGTGCGTGTCTTTGTGTGTGTGTGTGTCTGTCTGTGTGTGTGTGTGTGTGTGTGTGTGTATATATATATATATATGTGTGTGTCTGTATGTGTGTCTTGTCTGTGTGTGTCTTGTGTCTGTCTGTATGTGTGTATGTGTCTTTGTATGTCTTATGTGTGTGTCTGTGTGTATGTATGTGTGCCTGTATGTGTGCCTGTCTGTTTGTATGTATGTGTCGTGTGTGTGTGTGTGTGTGTGTGTGTGTGTATGTATAATGTATGTGTGCCTGTCTGTTATAGTGGGCTATAGTAAATAATAGTAAGTGGGATAACTAGCTCAATGCCTACTGGGCATTGCTATAAGGAAGGTTAAAAAAAAAAAAATGTAAAAAGGGGGAAAAAAAAAGGTGGGGAGGGGAATTGAGGAGGGAGAGGAGGGGAGCTGACGCACAGATGAGAAATCATATTATGCGCAAACAGAGAAGTCGTCTGAGTATCACCGAAAGAGGAGACCTTTGTTCCTTACGAAAATCGAATCAGATATTTAGTCTTGCAGCATCAACCTCAAGGATCTCATTAATCACTAGTAAAGGTAATTTCATTTACTTTATTGTTTTCTCATTAAACTTTATAAAGTTAAAAACATTATAAACATGCATTAAGTAGAAATAAAAAGATAAATGTACGTACATTTATTTATTTTTTTAAAACACCCTCCTTACTAAAAAATATTCTGCACTTGCGCGAAAACTGGTGGGCGGTAAGGAAATTTTTTCAACCAAAAAGATGCATTAGTGGGCGGTAGATAGAAAAAGGTTGACTACCGCTGCTGTATACAATTTTAAATAAAAAGTATACAAACATAGCCAGGATTCAGCTGTAAGCATTTGCAACACTTAGAACAATCAAGTAACATACATTCATATAAAATGTAAGTTACTTGGCCAGTCAATGTAATGTCAGGAATGAATAAGTAGATAACTCCCTAATTCCCACAGTATTAGGGAGCTATCTACTAAAAGGCTGAAAGACCTAAATTGGGTGGGGACCTTAAATAAAAAAAATAACTCCCCCTCCCGCAGGTGACTAGGGGTCCTCAAACCCCTAGTCACCCCCTCCCCAAAAAATTAACCCCTACCTACCCCCCTCACCCTAAAAATAATGAGGGGGGGACCATTGACTAAGTACCTGTAAAAAAATAAACTTACGATTTGATGTTTTCTTTCTTCTAAAATCTTCTTTTTTCAGCCCCAAAAAAGGCCAAATAAAAATCCATAATAACCGACGCAGTTAAAAAAAAAAAAAACCGAGGACCTAATTAGTATTTAGGGCCCCCACCCACCGCTCAGGGGTGGGGCCAGGGGGGAGAACATTAGGTCCTCAACCTCTCATTCTAATTTAGGGCCCCCACCCACCGCTCAGGGGTGCGGGCCCGGGGGGAGGACATTAGGTCCCCCCCTAATTAGTATTTAGGGGCGCCACCCACTACTGAGGGGTGGGGGCCAGGGGTGAGTACATTAGGTCCCCCCTCCTAATTTGTATTTAAGGCCCCCACCCACCGCTCAGGGGGGAGGACAATAGGTCCCCCCCCTATTATTTTACTTTAGGGCCCCCACCTGCCGCTCAGGGGTGGGGGGCCGGATGGGAAAATAGGTCCCCCCCCTTATTCTAATTTAGGGCCCCCAGCTTGGGGGCCCTAAATGTCTTTCAGCCTTTTGGTAGATAACTCCCTCATACCGTGGGAATTAGGGAGTTATCTACCAAGCGGCTGCAAGAGAAGTTCCGAATTGCCGAAGTCCCGAATTTCGGAATGCTGAACCGAACCGAAAATTTTTCCCATGCACATGCCTACTTTTTACTATGGAACATGATGTGTTGTCATGTGGTATTCCTACAATAGGGCATTTTGTGACTTCTAAAGATTCCATTATTAGAACCCCTGTCAATGGCAAGTACACACTTGTACAGAGCTGCTACCTCAGCAACACACCCTTTGCAGTTGCTGAGAGATGTTGACAAATGAAATTAGGATTGTAAACTACCTACATGACTTTGGTACAAGATTACTGATGATATAAGAATGAGGGAAATGAGAAAGTGATGAGATTTGGACTCTCTCTCTCAACATCACTGCAAATTTGTGATTTCTGTGGGAAAAGCAAGTATTATGGCTTGACTGGTGTGCAGATTTTTGTTTAACCCCTTAAGGACACATGACATGTGTGACTTGTCATGATTCCCTTTTATTCCAGAAGTTTGGTCCTTAAGGGGTTAAAGGACCACTATAGGCACCCAGACCACTTCAGCTTAATGAAGTGGTCTGGGTGCCAGGTCCATCTAGGATTAACCCTTTCTGCTGTAAACATAGCAGTTTCATAGAAACTGCTATGTTTACTTTAGGGTTAATCTAGCCTCTAGTGGCTGTCTCATTGACAGCCGCTAGAGGCGCTTCAGCGCTTCTCACTGTGATTTTCACAGTGAGAAGACGCCAGCGTCCATAGGAACGCATTGAGAATGCTTTCCTATGGACTGGCTGAATGCGCGCGCGGCTCTTGCCGCGCATGCGCATTCAGCTGATGACGGGAAAGGAGGAGGAGGAGAGTCCCCAGTGCCGAGGGAGCCGGGCGCTGGGAAAAAAAGGTAAGGGATTAACCCCTTCCTCACCCTAGAGCCCGGCGGGAGGGGGGCCCTGAGAGTGAGGGGGACCCAAGGACCCTATAGAGCCAGGAAAAAGAGTATGTTTTCCGGGCACTATAGTGGTCCTTTAACATTGTACTATCTATCTATCTATCTATCTATATCCCTACCCTGTGTTCTCATACGTTTACACTCCATAGACATACGCCTGGCATACACACACACTATATGTAGCAGTACACCTC